TGTGTGACATGGAATTCCATTGACACAAAAACTTGGAGGTGATAGGAAAAATATTAATGGGTTTTCTGACTTGAAGCCAAATCGAGTTTTCTCTTTTAAGAAAACATCCGGAGATAACTTATTAATATAGAAAACAAGTTGCAAGATTTGGAGATTTTCTCTGTTTTACTTTTCCGGGAAAATAAGCAAGAAAACCTTTACATTATGGAAACTTTAGAAACTGAAAGGCCCTTTGTTTTATTATTATTCTTATAACCAAATTTTCCGGTTTTTTTTAACAAGATTATTGCTAACTATATTTGCTTGTATATATTCAAGCTTATAAAACTAAAAATTAGCATTGCTATAATTAAAAAAAAAAATCTTTAAATTTTTAAAGAACAATTAAGCAGCAATAAAATAATTGATTCCGTAGAGTTGTCATAAAGTGAAAAGCCGTCACTTACTGTATTTCGAAAATCGAAATCCAGAAGTAAAGAAAATAATACTCTTTATCAAGAACAAAAACAATAGGAGAAAATCATAGAAAACCGATAATAAAATTAAAGAAATCTTGTACTCGATATTCCGAGACCATAAAATATACAAATTCCTACAGAACTAGCAACTCTTAAAATGAAGTTTCTAAGTTATTGGGAATTTGGGGATTGTTCTATTTTCTAAACAGTATTTTTTTTTTATCCATAATACGATTCAAACGAAGTAAAGAGTACTGTGGTCGAATTCTCACCCAAAGTTTTTTAAAAATATATATATCAAAACAAGACCAGAATGTACGGCGAAGGAAAAGAAAGAGAGAGATGAGGACGTAATACACACCGGAGAGATGACGTAAGCTCGGATCAAATTAAAGGAACAGAGAGATAGAGAGGTTCACATATCAGGGATCACAATCCATATAATGCTCCAAAGAAAGAATCAAAAGGGCCGAGGAAGAGAAAAGATTGGATATCCCTCTTCTTTTATTTCTGGGTGTACTCTGTTCTCTTCTGTTCCCCACTCATTTTTCTTGTGGCAAGATAAAGGCAGAGACGTATCAATACATCTTTTGTCGCTAGTGTGTCATGTATTTTTTTTTTTTTCTAAAGTGTTAAAACTCCTAAAGAAATATTTTGATATAAAATTCCTAATCCGTTAGACAGCAAAATGATTTGACGAATATCTAAAATTTTGCTCGTTTTCTTATATCACATAATTCTGAGAATTCATTTTTTTGTCAACATGAAATATGATTCTTTTGGAAACAACCGATCTCTCGTTTTTTTTGTTTGTTATATATATATATATATATATATATATATATATATTAAGAAAAAATGCAGCACCGGTCGTGTAATCACAAAATAAAATGATTTTCGAAGCAAACTTATTTTTATGTAATCTTAAGTCAGTTAGTACATTTGAATCAAATACTCCCTCTTTTCATAAAGAGTATTGTTTTAGAGTTTTGTTTTTGTTTCACAAAGAGTTTTGTTTTAGGTTTCTAATGCAAATTTATAACAGAATATCCAGTTTTAATCTTGTTATTTTAGTATATTAATTAGAAATAGAAAGTTATTTAGTGTATTTATTAGGGATAGAAAAGACTTTTTTATTAACTTTCTTAATTTGTGAGAAAAGTGTCAAAGTGACACTTATTTTGAAACAGAGGAAGTATAATTTTAGAGAACGAGTGAATCAGGCCAGGAGTTCGAGAATTGATGATACTTAAGTTCGGTACTGGTAAACAGTGATGCAATTATGACAATTGAGAGAACAGTAAAATGTTAGAAATTTGAAAAGTTAGGTATATTGTATTAGCTGCACATAAATAAAATGTCCAAAATGACTACAGTTTGTTAAAACAAAAGTCAATAACGAATCTACGACTTTTTTGTTTTCGCATTTTTTAGTCCTTTTTCTTAAAATCTCTCGTTTTCTTAACATTTTGTTTGGTCTCGCATTTATTGTTCTATACATATGTTACTATTTTCGAGTTATACCGTAGGTTACGCTCTACATTCTGAAAACCTATTAGAAATGTTTATACTTTTATAAAGTGACAAACTGGAAAAATCTCGATTGGTTTGTTGATTTACATCCAGTTAAAGATAAGGCGCTAATATATGAACATGTAAATGAACTAACAAACACCTCTGGGCTATGCATAGTGTATCTTGGATATGATATTAATTAGATTTACTAGGATTGAAGAAGGGGATATACTGAATATAAAGAAGAATTATGTATTAAGAAAATAAGTCTAAAAACATTAGTAGTAATTGTTTTTGTTTGCCTAAACTCCAAATGTGATATTTGAATTAATATAGCCTGTATTTCACGTAAGTTGTCTGTAATACACGATAGCCAATTTAGACTCTCTTTTTTGTTTTTTTTTTTTATATAAGAACTTTCTTTAAGCTCAGTTATGCAGAATCCCAAGTATACGATATTAAAACATACCCTCGTATCGTATTCGTATTCGTATCGAAAGAATCGAAAACTGTAACGTGACAACTTGCAAATACTAATAAGACGCCGTGACGAACTATAGTCAGTGGGACCCCATGCGATGACTGTGTGTATGACCGGCATGTGACGTTAGTCTTCTCATGGGACCCACTGCTACGACGACTCAATGGCTCAATTATTTTGAAGTAACAACCACAAAAAGACATTCTTCAGTTTCGCGAGAAACCAATATTCCAACGTAGACCATACGGCACGTGGCGGAACAGAGGATCTTGGAGGAGGCCTTTCGGTGTTGGTCATTTCCCGATTGTGTATGTAGGGAGGAGTTTTACAGTGACGTTTTCAGTTTTTATAAAATTGGCAGTAACGAACGCACGTGAGAACCACATTGATTAGTTTGGTCTTCGTGGGCTCCACTAGCGAGCACAATCTAAGAAAGGATCATCATGCCATTCTTCTTATGCCACGTGGTGACAAGCAATCACATGTGGGACGGTGCACCAGATAAGGACCTTTTGTGCATTTGTGTGCCGTGGGCCTCCCGTTCCATTTTCCAACTCCCCAACATTGACCCTTTTCTGCTATTTCTAGTCATAGTTTTTAAGTGAATTTGGTGAATAATCAAAAAATAAAATAAAATTTAACTAATCAAATGAGATAGGTAGTAGAGGTAGATTTGAAAAAAAAAACTGATTAGTTTTAAGTTATAGTTTTATTTATTTACATATCTCTAAAAGTTATTACAATTGTGTCGTGTGTGGACTAAAAAAAACTCAAAAAGTGAGATGAATCTACTACTGTTGCGTGGCTTTTGATTGGTTGGTGGTAGTAAGAAAATTATAGTATAAACAAATTACGATCCAGCATCATAATACAATCATTACAAGATTATCCCGTCCTTTCTTTTTTTGCCAACAGCCATTACAATCTATCTTTCCACTGTCTTTAACAAAATCAGGTAATTGCACATTATCTCCCTAAATTTTGGATTAAGATCAACTCAAGCAATGATTGGTCGTGCCACTCCAAAATGATTATGTGTGAAGAAAGAAGAAAACAAGTGATGTCTAGTGTATATTAATAAACGACAAAAGACATGTTTATTAGCCTAATTTAAATTTAAATTTTACGTCCTAAATGTAAATAAGTTGAAAAATCAATTACAAACTCTTAAGGTCCACGTATCACGAATAGTTCGGGACATGAACATTAAATCAAAGAGGCCCGATTAGACCTGCGGGCTTAAGGCCCATGAGACTTGTTGTGTATGATACGATATCTTTAGATATCTTATCATCTACGTAACAGCAAGTATATAGTTAGTATATTCGGTATATATCTTAAGCACAATAGATTTGTATCACACTTCCCGAAGAATTGGTAGAGGAGATACTGTCGAGGGTTCTGGTGACATCACTGAGATCAATACGATCTAGTTGCAAACAGTAGAACGCTTTATCAAAAACTAAGATCTTGCGTAGAACAGGGAAGCAGTTTATGGCGTTCATGACGATGGATTCCAGAGTTTGTTCAATGGAATTCGATTTTCAAGGAGTTTGCAATGACTTGGCAGGTCCATCTATTAAACAGGTAGCTATACTTGACCAGCTGGAGATATCTAAGGTCTTTCACTGCGACGGCTTATTGTTATGCATCATCAAGGGCAACACAGGGCTTGTGGTATGGAACCCGTACTTGGGGAAAACCAGGTGGATCCGATCCATAAACAGATTCTACAGGTCAGACTTGTATGCTCTCAGATACGACAACAACTTTAACCACAAAATTTTGAGGATTTGCTTTTTTGGGTACGAAGTCTACGATTTGAACGCTGATTCATGGCGGGTTTATTATCTCGATTCTGACTGGGAGACACGTCAACGCGGCGTATCCTTGAAGGGAAATGCTTATTTATTGGGTCTGGAGAAGATTAAAATGGGCGACTTTGGAACTAGTTTACTCTGTTTTGACTTACAGAGAGATTTGGACAACGTCTGCCTCTGCCGCCTCGCGTTTATCCGATATGGACAGTAACTCTATCTTGTGTTGGAGATGAGCAGCTCGGAGTGTTAATTCATTACCAGGAGTGTTTCTCCAAAGCATTGGAGATCTGGATTACGAATAAGATTGAACCAGATGCGGTGTCGTGGAGCATGTTTTTGAGATGCATTAGTTATTGTCAGGGCTGGCTTAGGAAGGGGGACAACAGGTGCACTGCCCCAGGGCCTACTCCAAATCTGATAATATTAGGGGTCCAAAATTTTGATCTGATAATGTTAGGAGCCCATTTTTTTATCTGTTAATATTTTAGGGGCCCAATTTTTTTAATTTAGTACATAATTATATTGAATTTGGATTTAAATAGTAATAAAAAATATATAACATATAAGTTATTATAATTTAAAATATAGAAGTCAAACAAAAATAAATAAAATTATTTAGATTATTTAAAAAATTATAATTTGAAAGTTTATTTTTAATAATTTATTTGTAAAAACCTAATTAGTTATATATATAGGGGTCAAAAAAAGTTTTTTGCCCAAAAGCCCCTAATATCACTGAGCCGGCCCTGGTTATTGTGGTTCAATCAATAATGAAGCTGGGAGCTTTTTCATTGACGAGGAGAAGAAAACTGTTGTGGTTTTCGATCTAGACGAAGCATATAGACAGAAGGAGGCCTGTCGCTACCAAACAGCTCATATCATTGGACAGGATAAATACTTCAAATCTGTGAATATTGGAGTAGCTTCAAATCTCGCAAAATATGAACCACCTGACCATGGAATGAATTTTGGATATATTCCCGAGGAATATTGTTTCCCAATTGTGAGCTCTTGTTATGTTCCAAGCTTAGTGCAGCTGCGTATCAACCAATCACGCAAAAAAAAAGAAAGGTAGGTCTAGTTACAGAAACTAATGGCTGTCATTCTTTTTTTTTCTTATATTTGTAAGGGACTCTGTTTCGTATCTAGAGAATCTTACGATCTGCCTTTGGATTTTGATCGTTGATCATCGTTCTGCTCTATATGTTTCTTGATATTGGATTGCGATTTGTTTAGAGTTACTGAGTTCTTGTTGAATGGAATTCTTTGATGATGGTTACGATTTGTGAAGTTGGTTGTTGTGTGCCGCTATCGGTATTTGATTGCTTCTCTTTTACACTTAAGACATTGATATGCATTGCACCAATGCAGGAATCTCTGTAATGCCAAGGACGGAAACAAAGCACCTGTTGGATCCTCTTTCTGCTGCAGAAACATCAGTTGCTGGTGCCAACCCCGAGGTGCGGAATCTTTGTGGTTCTCGAATCAAATGTAGCAGGATGCTGAAGATATGGTGGTCATCGATTTCACAGAAACTGTTTGATTTTTCTTTGGCGGGTTAGAGATAGCAGGCGTTTCATTGAGGTGGCGTCAGCAGATGCTTACCTTCTCCCTCCATTCCAGCCATCACTGCTTCCAAGAAACAAAGCTGAACCTGTGATTCCTATGAAGCTCCCAACAAGGCGAGCAAGACTTGTTGTGTACAACAAGACGTCTAATGAGACAAGTGTCTGGCTCGTGGAGTTATCTGAAGTTCATGCTGTCACAGGGGAAAAGTTGTTTCCTCACAATTGAATTTCTTAAGTGAATTTAGATGCTACTTTTGTTTGTGAGTTTCTCAGTTTTGAAGCTTTGTGATTTTAGGATGCGGCAGAATATGCTGAATGTGAAGCGATTGTCAAAGACTTTCCCCCATTCATTGAGGCAATTACTTCATCGGTTTCACATGTTGTTCATTTGACAGAAACTAATGGCTGTCCTTTTTTTTCCTTGTTGTGTTTGTCAGCATAAACCATGGGTGACTGAATACTTGTGTTCCCGGAATTCAATAACGCTATTGAACAACATCAGGCTTTGCCAATTCAATTTTGGAAATCTTCTGTCATATCTTCTTCCTCAATAGACATAACATCTCCTGCACCAGCAATTACATGTAGCTTAGTTACACATATACAAGTTAGGGTGGTGGATTCGGTGTATAGTTAGGATAATTTTCTCTTACAATTTAAAATTAAGTTTATAATTGCTAATGCAATGCAACCCATTGATTTCTGATTAAAATTCTAGAGACAAATAATACCCGTCCGATACGAAACATTTCCAGTACGCTCGACCGCAGAGTATAGCTGCCTCACGTGCTCACGCAATCATACTAAATATTAAAAAGTCAAAAAAGCCCCAATAGCAGCTGCAACTGCCACCAGAAGCGGTCGAGGGTAATTCCGTCATTGCATGGCGAAAGCTCTCATCTCCCCAACCGCGTAGCCCCTAACCAAATCGAAATACCTTTCCCCAATTTTGCTCATCTCGCAACCCAAAATTAAACAAAACAGATATCGGGGAAAAAAAAAAAAGTTGTAAATAGAGAGGAAAACAAGGCGGGGAAAAGGATCACGATTCACAAAATTAGTGGAAATCCAAAGTGTTCTTTCTCCATAATCGGAGGTTCGTTTTCTCTCTCTCTCTCTCGCTGTGTGTATAGGAACTGAATGATTGTATATTAATTTGTTTTTTTGGAATTTTTGTAATCTTGATTGTATTATCTTTATTTTCGTGTTTTGACTTTCTCTCTCTCTCTCTCTCTGGAGATTGAGAGGACTCATTTAATTTTTCTTCCCCAGGGCTTGATTTCTGCTTTTGGGATAGAATTTGTTTTTCTATAACAGGATCGGAATTAAATAGCATTTAGTAAAATCGGGTAACAGTAGAATTTCCCAAGGTCGGAATCAAATCGAGAGCTGTTATGTGATATGCAGGATTCTCAATTATGTGTCTGATTTGTTGTGTGTTTTTGGTTTGATTGCAGATCTGGTCTTCTCTGTTGAGAGGAGTATTGGCGTTTTGATGCTTAGGCCTTATAAATTTTAGGACAAGACGAGCTGAAAAAAATTCACTGGAATCATTGTTTAGATTTTAGATTAGCGGTTTTTGTTTTCTATTGTGGTGACCCGAATCCAATCCAGGGAGATTATGGGAATGAGGAACACGTTTGGGTCAAGAAATTCGAATAGAAGGGTTAGATCTAAGGATAAGGGTTCTGATGACTCAGATGAGGATTATGTAATATCGGACGAGGATGAAGAAGACTCTGAGACTGATCTCAAGGAGTATGCCTCATCCATGGACGGTGAAGCATCCTATGACGGCTTCCACCACGCGGTGGAGGACGAGGATTTAGATGAGGTGGAAGAGGAAGATGCGATGCTAAGGAACGTTGAGTGGCCGAAAGTGAAAACTGGTCCTCGTGGTAATCGGAAAATCACGGGATGCAAGTCAAGAAAGACGAGCCAGGTTGCGTCTGACAACGAAGATGTGGATCTTGATGATGCGGATGACGAAGAGGAGGAGATGAGAGGTTCAAGGAAGGCTGCTGGAAGGTCTGGTGTGAAAGTTGGGTCTTTGGGTGGAGAGAAGAACGGAAGAATTGGTTTAGGAAAGCGCAGGAGAGTATTCTACGAGATGGAAGATGAAGATGGAGACTATCCGGAGGAGGATGGCGAGGAAGAGGAAGAGATTGATGTGGAGAACGCCAGGTGTGAACAGGTGGATTTAGATTCCGTGCGTATTGGTGAAGACGGAGACATGGCGTTGGAAGAGCAGGACAATGTGTCACACGAGACAGAAAAGGAAGATGATGGAGACTACGAGGATGAGGATGAGGGTGGAGATGAAGAATTCACCGCAGATGAAGACGTCTCATTAGACGAGGAAGAGGAGGAAGAGACAATTGCATGTAATAAAAGACCACTAAAGGCTGCTAGTAAGAGAAACAAAAGAAAGCAGAGATCTGGAGGAGGGCGGCGTAAAAGAAGAAAGAGATGCTCTGTTGCAAAAGCTCGTGTGACAAATGGAAGAAACAGACGTGGGAAAAAAACAAAGGAAGGAGTTGATGACGATGGTGATTTTGTAGATGACTGCCTACCTGCAAGAAAGAAGGCAAAGACGAGACCATCGAGGCCAAGGCGTCGGTGTACTGTGCCATCAGATTCAGACATTGCATCCTCTGGAGAATCCGATTATGAGTACACAATCTCGGAGGAGGAAAGAGAGCAGGTAAGAGAAGCCGGTAGTTTGTTGAGAAGTAGTGGGAAGCATGTATCATCTATGAGAAAAGCTACGGTCGATAAAGATTTGCCTCAGCGTCGTAAGTCCCCTGTGAAGAAAGCTGAGAAGAAGGTAGAGTTAGTGAAAAGAGACGTGATGAAAAACGTTTGTGGGATTTGTCTGTCTGAGGAAGACATGCGGAGATTGAAGGGAACATTGGACTGCTGTAGTCATTACTTTTGTTTCACTTGCATAATGGAGTGGTCGAAAGTAGAATCTCGATGCCCGCTATGCAAGCAGCGGTTCAGAACAATCAGTAAGCCTGCAAGATCTACACCTGGAGTAGATTTGAGAGAAGTTGTGATACCTGTACCTGAACGGGATCAGGTTTGTTTTTTTCTTTCTACTCTTTCTATTGCTTTATGCCTATATAGTCTCTCTAGTTGATTCATTAATTGCCCTGGTATCTTCATGAATGTTGGCCGTGGCCTTCTTGTAGCCAATACTTTATAGTTACCAGTAACATTAGTTCTCTCGGTACTGCGTCAGTTGCATGATAGTGGAGACCTTATCAGCTATAAAATTTCAACATTCTGCTCATCAAGTGTTGCTGTATTGTGTGTTTCATGTCAGTTCTTGTGTGATAATTTGTTTTTTTTTTAAACTGTGTGTAGGTCTATCAACCGACTGAGGAAGAGTTGAGGAGTTATCTTGATCCCTATGAAAATACAATATGCACGGAATGTCACCAAGGTGAAGATGATGGGCTTATGTTACTTTGTGATCTTTGTGATTCATCTGCCCATACGTACTGTGTTGGGCTCGGGAGGGAAGTACCTGAAGGAAACTGGTACTGTGAAGGTTGTAGACCCGTTGCACTTGGATCAGCTAGTTCCCATACACATACTACTACACCTGAGCAACAAAGGGTGAGCGGCTTCTATAGTAGACCATCACCTCTTGTAGTTTCAGGGCAACATCAAGATGCGTCTTTACTAGTCTCTCCACGTACACCGTTTTTCAATGGAGAGTACCTTTTTTCTCCGAGGCTACCTAATGGTGACGTTCAAGCTTCTTCTCCATCCGGCTTAGGTGCAACCACATTATCAAGGAGGAGGACGCTTCATAGGCACATACAAAATATTATCAACAGTGATAGACTTGTTAATATGGGTAGTAGAACTGGTGGAACATCATCAATGGTTGCTAACTCGAGTGATGGTTTCGTGACTACACAAATTGGTCATGGTAGAGAAAGAGAAGCGGCTCAAGCTGCAGTGACGCAAGGAACAGGGATGTCGTTGTATACAATCGCTGAGGAAAGAGTAGCCAATAACAACCCATTGATTTCTGCCCATGACCCTGAGCTTTTGTCTCCAAAGTTAGATCATTTTGGAAGCGAAGAAGCAGTCAGACGTTTGTCTAATAATACATTTCTTGGCGATAGACGAATCGATTTAGGATTATGTCATGGACTTGCTCAGGTCGATCCTTTGTTTGGTAATCAACAACATCTACCCAGCTACATGCCAAACACCACATTGTATTCCACGGGAGGAGAAGGCCTGCAACAAAGAGTTAAAGCCCATCTCAAGAACTTGTCCAGTCAAATCGGATTAGGTACACATAATCAAGTTCCCTCTTCAAGCTCTTGGTTTAACTCGGCTAGTATTATGTTGTTCTTTGCCTACATTGTAGACAAGATTACGTTTAGCCTTTAGGGATTGTTTGTTTAACAACAAAATTAGTTTAGATTTGGATATAGGCCACAGTTTGGTTGCCGTTTGTGTACAGTTTCCGGGTTAGTTCTTCTCTTCATGACTTGCTAGTTGATTTTGGGTAATAGCTTAGATATTTGCCAAACTCATTGACAATGTCTGTCCATTATTGCTTTAGGCACACATGTACAACTCGTTAAGTCTCTAGAATTGTTTATTTCCTTGCACAACACTCTTTGGATTATAATTTGGATTACCTCTTATACAGTCTCTGATTTTAGTTTTTTTGGGGGGTATTCTTCCATTTGTCTTGCTCAGGTCAAGCCACGTTTGACGAGATCTCCACGTGCTCGATACACACGATACTTGCAGCTTGTGGACTGGAACACAAGAGCAGTGAAGTCCATCTTGTTCCGCCATCAGTGACGTGTCCTCACGATGATATGACACCTGGAAGCAGCAGTAGCAACAACAGCAGCAGCCTGATGAAAGGGTGTTGCTATTCATGTTTCGATTCATTTGTAGAAGATGTAGTTAAGATGATTCTGGACACAAGACAACCCCATTGGTTGAGATTAGGGCTCCACTAAATCACCACTTGCTTTCAATTGTTTAGATTTATTAGAAAATTGAATTTTTTTCTTTTTCTTGTCTTTGTTCAGATCCTGAACCTTTATTTTTTAGCCATTGTATATGATACAAGTGCGATCCATTTTCACCCGAAAAGAATGATTTTATTCTATATTCCACTATTGCTATGTGCACTGAGCCACTGACCAGCAAAAACATAGCTATTGGATGGAATTGTGAAAGCATTGCGTTTCTGGTAATAATTGATTTTGGGCCATCAAAGAGACCGGCCCAGTACAGAGAATCTGAAAACAGTAACAACAGAGGTCTTCCCGTTTCGCGTTTTAGATGAAGTCTCTCCGACACGCGGTTCAACAAGGGGAGCACTGAAACGGCATGCGGTGCGTGTTAAATAAGTTAGGACAGCGGGAAGTGTGAAACTAAGCAAGAGTCCCACATCGGTTAGAAGAAACAAAGGGAGCATTGGGAAGTCGGTATAAATAAGAGACCCATGGCAACAAGATATTTACTTACCTGGACGGGGTCAACTCGTGATCAAGAAGACGAGTGGCCTAGGCTAGTGACTTCCATTGCACTAAGGAAGGGTGCTTAGCTTAAGGTCTTCCCACGTGGAAGAGCCTGCGTCATTATTTGTGGCAGAGGGGGTTTGCGTTCGCGCAACCCCCACCATTCTCTTAGTCTTTGAAATATATTCAGTCTGACGTAACTGTTTCTACGAAGCTAAAATCTTGGATCTGTATTTATGAAATAAATTATTATATAAATTGGATCTGAGATGAATTGAAAGTGGGAAAGACGCAGATCCAGGTTTGAGCGAACTTGTCTCTTGATTATTATCACGTAGTTAACGAGGTTTCGATATTTGATAACGATGGTGAGAGTGTACATTGAAGATCAAAATGGCTCTCGAGTTTTTGTACACTCGTTGCAGAGAAAACAAAAACTCTTGTGCACATTTAAAAGCCTGTTTTATTGTTTTTCTCCAAGGAAATATCTCTGGGAAATTAAAATGGACAACAGATATAGTATTTACAGATTTGTGTTAACAGCCAATGGGGATATTATGATGGATCTGGCAGATAAGAACTTGAAAAAGAAAAAAAAAGAGTCAAGACATGGCATTATCTTCTTCCTCTCCCCCTACCAAACCCAATCTTCTCTTGGCGACTTTTGATCTGTAACACCAAACCTCAAAAGCCTCTGTCAAATCCGGATACAACCCGTTCTTGCTTAACCACTCAGTCAATATCTCAGCTTGGTCTGAAGCTGGCAATGCCAGAATTAGCGACACAAAGGATGATTCTAACGCTTGCCATATCTCTCCATCGATTTTACATCTCACAGCTTCATTCTCCTCCTCACCGTTTCCGGCAACCGCTGAGTCAACAAGAGGCTTTGTGTTTCTCACAAAGGGAAGCCATAGTTTTACCATCTCGAGCCGTTTCGCCGTTGGCAATATCACAGTTCCATAACCGATCGCCTCTACGACTTTCGCAGTCACCTCCGTGACCTTAACTCTTATCTCAACCGTCTCTGCAACCGTTTCCATCGCTTCCACTACCTTCACTAGCTTCTCAGAAGTGTCAACCCACGTTATGACAAAATCTCTAACCATTTCCATCTTTGTTAGTATCTGAAAAGCCCACGACAAGTCCGATACAACCATCCTGAAACACCCGTTTCCGCTAGTGACCTCAGAATCGACGGCTTTCAAGGAGATTGCTTCTAGACACTGGAAGAATCTTACAAACAGGCTCTTCACAGATTCCTTTACTTCAACCTTGATTTCTTCATCAGCAATCAGTAACGGAGCATCGTCATCTTCGGTTATCATATAGTCAATCTGTTCTTGAGCCGATGACTTTATGTCGCACAAGGGCAAAGGCGGAGACGAGGTAGCGAATCTAAAAGCAGATAAAAAGATTCCAACAACGGCGGATTGATCAACCGGTTGGAGACGGGCGAGAACCGGCTCTGCTTCTGATCCAATTGTCGGTATGATCCTCAATATCTCTTCCTCTTCGCCTTCTTCCCATGGGACAGCTTCCAAGTAGTTCACACAAGCAGTGACAATCTTCGGGCAACTAAGTTCTTTAGCGACACTGAGAATCCCCAACGCACTTTTCACATTATGGCACAGGTTATCCTCAGGGACGTCATCAGAGACAACATAGAGAAGTCGTAAGAGATTGATGTGATGATCGTAGTCTGATTCTTGACAGATGACTTCGACACAGTAGCGAGAATCAAGAATCTTGCAAGTGGGCCATTTGTCAGAGAGACGGTCTGCGAAATATCCACTTCTCTCACTAAGGATCTTGGAGTGGCAATAGATCCAATCGTCACGGCCTTCTTCGTTTCTTAGTCGAACAACTATGTCACTGGTAGATCGATCACCAAATGTATATGAAGCCTCGGCTTGATCATCCTGTCGAGAATCAAAAACCGAGTAAAGAACACTGAATCTAACCATTTTGAAACCCACAAACCAGAAATCCATCCTTGGTCTAGTACTATTATACTTACACGAGGCTCCATAGAGAAAAAAGGCGGGGGCTTTCCCTTGAATTTGATGTAGTTTCAGCACCTGAATAAGTAATCACCATGAAAGAGAGGACGAAATGAGATGAAGTTAGCAGACGAAACCAAACTCAGCAAAAAGACGCCATCATTACCCAAAATCACACATTAACCACCAGAAGTATGAGGGAATACAGAAAGCATGAAACTTTTAGTTACGACGAATTGATTAGTATACTTTCCGAATTCGAACTGAGACCTAGAAATAGAAAGACAATCATTTTTCGGATATACTTATCGGAGAACAGTACCCTAAATGTTGAATCTTTAAGATTCTCAGTGGGACTTCTTCGAAAGGTACATAAACACTAAAGCTTTAATCTTGCATCGACGAACCACTCTGATATCATCCAAACTCCACCCGATCTCTCTCTCTCTCTCTCTCTCTCTTCTGTACCAGTTCCTTTTTCTCTCTCTCTCTTTGGTGCAAAATCTTTTCAATGCCTACTTGATGATGTGTGTGTCAGAACTTTGTTGGGCTGAAAGATAAATTATTTTCTTTTTCTTTGTTCTTTTGGTTCAGATTCGATTGAATCTTGTTGGGTCTCTTTCAAATGCTCTTTTGGGGCTTTTAAGGCCTCTTCAAGATTTCAGTGATCACTGACATCACTGCAGTTAATGTTCGGAATTTACTAGTATAAAAAGTTATAAATGTAAGTAATTATTTGCTGGTTGTACTGTTATTTGGTACTACATGGTACACTTAAAAAAGTTCATTCAAAAGCTTGCAAAGAGATCTTATTCTGATGTAATAATATCAAAGGATGAAAGAGTCGACACTAAATCTTAGATATATCATCCATCATCATTACTTACTAAGTCGACTATGTGCTTTCACTAATCAAGTCGTATGTTCGTGGCTTACAACAAACTCAGGATTCTCGCTTTGCAAGGCTCGAACCTGAAGGGAGTTTGTTTTTTCGCAAAATGTACATGAATCTAACTAAACAACAACAATAAACCAATTACGTCTACATATCAACTGAAACAATGTACATGTTATTAAACATTACAGAGATGGGAAAAGCAACAAGTAAACGACGGATATCTTTGCTGACAAGTCTCTTTCTTCTCATTGCTGCCCCAATTTTTCCTGTCACAACGAAAAATTACACATACCGATTTTAGCGTAACTCTACAAGTGAAGTGAACACAAACGTAGATATGATGTTTCAGAAAGCAAATGAAAAGCCAAAAAAAATATAAGGAGACGACTCGATTTAGAAAGCAACCTGAAGCATCTGCATTAACTTTGGATGCTGTTCCAGAAGCTGACACAGCTTGTCGCGGTCACTTAGCAGAGCCTGAAAAGGAGATTTAAGAATTATGGCAAACTGTGACACGTGATACTAAAGAAAACAGCGCACTGTTACAAGGTTGTGAATTACAAACCTGAATGGCTTCTGGGGACTTGAAGTAATCATGTAATGACATTCCAGATTCTTGTTGCTGAGAAGTCCCTGCTCCTTGCTGACCTTGAAGAGCGTGTTGCTGTGGCTGTTGCTGTTGCTGCACATGAGAGATCTCTTGTTGTTGATGGGGGTGATAATAAGGCTGCACATGCGTCTGTTGCATCATCTGCATCTGATGCAATGGAATCTGATATTGGTTTTGCAATGATACTCCTTGCTCGGATGGCGCAGATATCTGTATGGGGGGTCTAACATGCTGAGGAGGCTGCATAGGGCGTTGTAGCTGTGAAAGCTGCATAGGTTGCAACTGAGGAATGGAGGGAACCGGCAACATGGTCTGCGGCTTATCACCTCCTTGATGCATAGGATTCCCATAGAATGGCACTGGGAGAGATGATGGCCTGCTAAAACCAGGGGATTGCATTAGAGTTGGGGGAGGGTAAGAGGTCATTCCGGCACCTGAAACAGGATTGCCTGTCTGCGGATCAATGGCTGGACCACCTTGTTGTTCAGTGGTGCCTGCACCTGCCTGGTTGTATCCAAAAGATTGAACTGTAGATGTCCTTGGTGGTAACGAGGCATATGGGTTAGATGAGTATTGAGGAATCGCTGAAGGATGTGGTGGCATAAGCCGGATGGGTCCTCCTGAAGATGGTGTTGCATGACTAATAAACGGGGAGGATTGATTAGAGAGAGAATCAGAAGAATGTGGTATCACAGGTGAGACTGATGGAGGTGGCACTAAGGGCAAAGGAGGCTGGTTTGGCATCATTTTCTGATCATAAACCCCCCGACCACTGAATCCAGGAATATGGCCCGAATGTTGCTGATTACTCTTTGAATAGAAGCCCTGTGGACCCACTCTAGGATCAATCAAATTTTGTCCTGAAGATCCTGGAATGTTGTTGTAAGCAGGTACAAACCCAGAGTCAGAAATGCCAGCGCTCTTCATTGGAGCCATCTTCTTTGTTTCGTCTGCCTGCTCACCATATTTCCTCTCTGAAGAAATGCTTGGTTCCCGAATCAATGACATCTCGGGGCGTGAAGCTGATATTCTTGATGAAAATTCGCTCTGAGCGTTCTCGTCAACGTTGGTTGCCAATGGTGTGTCCATGTGGGAGAATTGACTACTTCCGTTTGCATCACTCTCCGTTTCTTCAACAATGGAGTGAGGAGAATTTTGTTCA